TGATTCCAGGGCTGGCACTCTATCCACTGAGCCACCTATCTGCTCAAGCAACAAAGAGCAGCCCACAAAAATAGTCATGGAAGCCACAAGACACTCCAGAGAGAGAGGAATCCTCATATTTGGAGAGGTTAGGGGGGACTGGGAATTTCTTTGGGAAATTCTAAATCTTTGGGAAAGAGCTGTTCATCAGAGGTCTTTTTTTGTTATCTGAGAGTACTGTTAGATTTTTTTGCACTGTTTCTCCAATTCTTTCAATAAAGCTTAATTCTTATAATCTTCTTTCTTATTATGAGCCACGTGCTTACAAGGGGAGTTAGTTTCTGTGGATTTTATGGAAGGAGTTAGTGATATTTTCCCCAGATTTTGTGAATGGGAATGTATGAGCCAAACAATGTGAGACAATTTCCCAAACGGTACCCTGGCTTTCCCTGGGGCTATAGATTCTGATCTACATGTTATGCCCATAAAATGTGGGGAGGAGAAATCAGATGATTTCTAATATCCCTTCCTGATCTAATTTCTACCAGTCTGTGACATAGGTCAACTCATTTACTTTTCTTCGCTTAGCTCTACTTCCTCACTTGGCAATCACATACAGTGAAATTGCAAATTCGTCTTATAAGGTTAGAAATCCATGACTGAATTCTAAAACTCAAACAAAATAGCATAATATAATTTTGATCTCATTAGCTATTCAACTACAGTCTCTTTGTTGTTCAACTTATTTTTAACAGTCTTGAAGGTTTTCTAAATCCAAGACAAAAGAAGATCTAAACACAAAACTGATGTTGGAGGAAATGAATAGTGCTATAGGGAATCCAAGAAGCAGCATGGCATGGTACATAGGCCAGCCTCAAAATCACGGAGATCTTGATTAAGTGTTACCTCTAAAACACATTGGCTATGTTGTACAAGTTATTTCACCTTTCGACACCCCCAAACAGTTCTCTAAAATTACGGCTTGCAAAGCTAGTGCATTGGTAAAATGACTTTCCTCACTCAGAGTTCCCTACACTAATAAAACATGGAACTGGATCAAAATAAAAAGAAGAATAGGGGGAGGGGAGGTTGGAGAAGGAATAAATAGTCCAGAGGTGCCAAAAGTTTTAAAAAGAAACCTTTCCATTACACAAATGCAACCCTGACCTAATGAGTGAATCTAGATTATGAAATACTTTATTATGGACCTTTTTTTTTCTTTTCATCCCATCTGATCATGCTGAGCAGTAAATATTACTGTAGAGTTTATGGGCAGACAATAAAAGGCAAAAATAGCTCCAAGAATTGTTGAGTCCTCCAATAGAAATGACAAATAATTCCAGCTAAAGTTGTGGGCACTCAAACAATATTCCTGAGTTTCTCTACTTGAAAATCATCTAGTCCCAAGGAGTTGGTCTTAATTAGATGTGACTAATGACTGATCTTCAGAAAGATGAATATAGATATAGGAAATAGCTAAAACCTGTGATGGGATCCACGTTGGTAAAAAAAAAAAACTATTACTTTGGCCAACACCACAGATGGGCAAAATAATTATGTCATTGTCATGCCAGATCATGGGCAATATGTCCAAACAGCTTTCAATGTTAGTGGCCAACTATTGGACAATATGCTTTACCAAATTCAGAAAGAATCTGTGTTATCATCAACATGAGGAAGTTTTAACATGGGAACTTTTCCCATTAAAATAGATTTTTGCCCATCTATGACAGTAGCTAAGTCCCTAGGGAGTCTCCTAAAGTACATGGAGTTTAAATGACTTTTCCAGGGAAACATAACTAGTAAGTGTCAGGTTCAGGATTTGAACCTAGATTTTCCTAACTCCAAGCCATTCTGTACACTATGCCATGGTCCTCTACACAGTATCCAATGAAGTACTAAATAATAACATAATTTTAGAAACTTAGGGTTTTTTATGTATGAAGTATTTTTGCCCATATTCCTTTTGCTAGATACCAATGGAACCCCATGTGTGGGGAAAAAAAATTTAGTTGCTCAAACCATAACTTAGGAAATCATAATCCTGAATGTGCCCTTTGATTTCTACATGCAACAAACTCTCTAACATTAATTCAATACTTTAAAATTAATGTTGTACCTTAACTGAAACTGAATGGGGTGTGTTTCCTATGTCTTCATTACTTAAATAGCTCTAACTGCAGAGGACAATATTTTTATTGTTCTGCAATGTTTCTTTGGTAATATTTTCTGTTTGTTTCTGAAAGTGAGTAGTGGATATGACTGACTTTCTCAGCGTGAGGAATGAAGGAGCTAGAGTTGTATAATAAATAGAATCATTACATTCAACCAGAGTCAACTCTATTTTAAATGAATGCTTTTTTTGAAAACAGAGAAGAGAAACTTGAGGAATTAGAAAATGAAAAGTCATATCACCTTGCAATCCACTCATATGTAATCACAACATCAGACAAATGGAGGTGGGCACCTGATTTGATTTTTCTCTCCTTTTTTTCACATCTACAGGGTTGGGCACCCACTGGTGGTGGGCCAGATAGATGGCTGTCTTTTAAGAATGCATGAGAAGCTCATACAACAGTTGCAATGCCAAATTAAGGTAGTATGTTATGATCTGTTTGTAATGGGCTTATTAAAGGAAAAGCTTGAGCATCAATCATTCCAGCTCTAAAAATGGAATTTCATTATAAGACGGATGTTTTACCTTTACTGAAATTTGATGTGTAAATAAATAACAAGGAAGGGGCTTAGGGAGAATGTAAGTGTAAATATTACAATCTGGCTAAATACCACCAAGAGTTATTCAAGGCTATTATAGGACTCACAACTTTGCTGAAATAATGGAGAAATCAAATATAATACATCGAGAACATTCTACATTCTCCAATTCACTGTTCAATTATCTTTTCCCTTTGCAATGATACTTCCTTGTCTGCCACACATTTTAAAGGTCAAAATATAGGTTGTTTTGTGGTAGTCTTCATTTTTCCCAGATTAGGAGTTATCCTGGTAGTTGCCTGCCTGATCTCCCCACATCCCCAGTTTTCAGTTGCTCTATGTGACCCTGTGTTTCTGTGACAGAAAAGAACAAATTTCTGTCATGCCCATTTTAGCAGAGGGAACCCTAAAGTGCCCACTGGTTTTACTAACTGGCTGCTTTTAATCTTATTCAGATAACCCAGGCATTTAATCAGCCTTTACTTTGCTTCAACTGTATATCTGAGTTCATCGTTACATAACAAGACGTAGACTTCTAAGGGACCTCTGAATTCATCTAGTCCATCTCTCATTTTATAGATGAAGAAGCTGACTCATGGAAAGGTTAAATGACTTTCTTGGAATCAGAGAATAGTAAGAGGCAGAACTCAAACTTATGCCCAAATCCTCTGTTTTCAAATCCAATGCTATTTCCTTTGTACCACAGTCATGTGTGGGTCCTGAGAGAGGAAGGGTTGGGTGAGATTTGTTTCCTTAAAATAAGCAGGGAGAAATAAGGATATCACCAGGATAGTCTGATTTGAGGAAGACTAAGAAGGAGGCACAAATGAACAAGTGAGAATGAAAAGACAGGTCCTTTGGGGTTTTGTACGCCAACCTCATGTATAATTTCTTTGCTCTCCCCTTCTACCCCAAAATTCTGTTTTATTGGGAGAATGTCTTAATGAATAAATAAGCATAGGTGAGCATACACATAGGCATGCTTGCACATTCATAAACAAATATGTAAACACACACACACACACACACACACACACACACACACACACACACCCCTCTATGGAGAGAACAACTTGAAAATGTTCCTTTTATTGGGAACCTTTATTTTTCCCCTGTTGGAGCTCTTTATCTGCCCTACTGACCATGAGTAGTCTATTTAGGGTGTATCAAAGCAGGTCATTTGGTCACCAACTTGGCCATTTGGTGGTAAAATGGAAAGAGCACTAGTTCTGGAATCAGGGGATCTGGGTTTAAATCCTTTCTCCAGAATTGAATTCAGAACTGGAAGAGACTTTTGAGGACATTGATTCCAACCACCTCATTTTGCAGATAAATAAGACACTGGGATGTTAAATGACTTTCCCAGGATCACATAACCTCTAAGCATCTGAGGTGGGATTTCATCTGAAGTTTCCTTCCTGACTTTGTGCCCAGAGTACTATACACTGCACGACACTGCCCCTCCTGCTCTTTTGTGTGACTTTGGGTAAGTTATTGGGCTTCCATTTTCCTCATCTATTAAATAAGAGAGGTGAACTAAATGTTCTTTTGAGGTCCTTTACAGATCTAGGTCTAAGATCCTATAATACTTTCATGTTATTAAGTCAACCACACAAAAACTGTTTCATTTTAACCTTAGAGTTTTCTCCCTGGTTCCACTTTGCATTTGCTGCTGTGTCTGATTTCAACTCACAGAAAAAAAGATGCCCCTCCCATCAGTTCTAAACTCACAATCATGTTGTCAGCTCAAGTCTTGATTGACTCCACCTCCCTCATTCTCCTCTCCCCTCTGATTGGAGGGCTAGAGGGTGAGTATCAAACTCCTCCCAATGCCTTCCCTTATAGAGGGCAGAAACTGGACTCTCAGATCATTCTACCTTGCATCTCCTGCCTTGCCTGGTTTCAAATCCAAGAACAAGGTGCCCTGTGCCAGGTTCCCCTTGGTGCCTTCCTTACCCAGCCCCCAGCCCTCAGCCCTGGACCCCCCACTTCTCTGCCCTTGTTTTTCTGCCTCCTTTTGTGTATTTTCCCCCCCTTTAAATTATAAGCTCATTGAAGGCAGAGACTCTTTTTTTTATTTGAATCACCAGTGCTTACCACAATGCTTGGTATGTTATGGGTGCTTAAAAAATGTTTATTGGATTGGATTGATATTTGGCAATCAAAAGATCTTTTAAAGATGTAGCTCAAGAAGCTAGAGCACAATCATGCTTTATGAAGTGACAGTGGTGGTTCACTTCTATAAACTTATATCAAAATGAACCACATCCCCAGTTCTGCTTGCAATGTATCTTACCCACACATACCTCTTTAAAACCAAGGGCTTCATTTTCAGGAATAGTTACTATTGGATGACTTGGCTTCACAGGAAAGATGATCAGGATGTTGTAAAATATGGAAAGAAAAAAATATGTCAATGAAACATTAATAAACAGTTAATGATTGGGAAATGTTTTCATTATTCACAACATATTTCATCAAGCTGATCTACTAGTTTTGAACTGACATTCCCAAGTGAGGGTCCAACTTAACATGCAAACAACATCTATGATAATAATTTCCTTAAAGGCAATGACTGTTTTACTCATCTCTGTAATAAATCCTTTTTAGATTAGATTGGATTGAGTTCCATATGTTCCTTAGTATGTTTTTTCACATAATATGTCTTCAGAAAATACTTTTGAAGATTGAATGAATGAAAAATATATAATTTTTTTTTCAGAATAAACTGCCAAAATTCACAGAAGTCAAAAAATGAATAGCAATCAAGGAAACATCATGCTTCAACCCACTCACATGGTGTAATTGCTAAGCATTTAGTAAAGTGAAAGGAAATAGAGAAAAATCAGCATCCCAGCAGATAGTTCATTCCTCAAAAATTAAATATTTTCCATGAGATAAAAAGAAATGCATTATTGGACAAAATAATGAGATTCAATTGCAGTGACTATAAACATTGAATTCTTCCTATATCTTCTTTTTGAGGACCGATGTAGTCTATTAAGAGGCTTATCAAAAAAATGATGAATTTCTTTTTTTGGGGGGGAAGCATTCATAAGCCAGAAAAACACCCAAATCAACCTTCAGTCCTTTTGACTTTCAGTCAAAAAGGCTGCAAACAACATTTTTGCTTTAGTAATAATAGTAATGGAAAAAGGGAAAAAGGGTGCTAAGCAAAGCACAGTTCTTTTACTATCTATAAATGTTTGGCCAACTGCCAGTCCTTAACATGGTATATTTATTATCGAAAAGTTGACATACTATAGCAGAAAATGAACCACATGTGCATTGACTTTCTTGCTGCAAATTAACCTAGAATACTTAAATTGAAACTCTGTGATAGAATGTCTTATGAATTCTCCTCAGAGAAATAAAGAAGAGTTGATTTCCTCTTACACAGCCTGCAACAAGAAACATTATTTTGTAGGGTGATGAGTTATCTTGTCTTGCAATACTCATAATAATCATAAGGAAACAGAACACTGGAGAAAAAAATACAGAGTCAATGGCAACACTATCTTACTAGTCACTCAGATTTGATCCCTCAGCACTGTTTGAATAATCCCTCTCTTTTACCTCCTCACATCATGTTCAATCATATGTCAGATTTTGTCCCCTTGACATCTCTGTGTTATATTTTCTTCTCTTCAGTCATACTTCTTCTATCCTTGTTTTAGCCATTCATCACATTTTACCTAAATTATTATAATAGCTTGTTGTTTTTTTTTACTTTCTAGATGTAAGTTTATTTTTCAATTAACAAAAATCTTTTTTTCTCTTCCTCCCAAACCCCACTGAGAATAAAAGGAAAATAAACACTTTGCAATAAATATACATAGTCAAGCAAAGCAAATTCCTGCATTGGCCATTTCCAAAAATTAGGTGTCATTCTGTGCACTATCATTTGTGCTTTGGGATTATAGTACGTAGGTCAATACAATATTGATAGAGTTTTTATGTCTTTCAAAGTTGTTTCTCTTTACAATGTGGTAACTATTATATAAATTATTCTCCTGTATCTACTAATTTCACTCTGTACCAGTTCATACAAATCTTCCTAGGTTTCTCTGAAACCAGCTCTTTCTTCATTTTTTGCAGCTCAATAGTTTCCATTACATTCATATACCATGATTAGTTCAAAAAACTCCCAATTGATGGGTACCATCTAATTTCTAATTCTTTGCTTTCCATAAAAAAAAGTTATACACACACACACACACACACACTCACACACACACACGTGTGTGCACAGTTGTATATATATATATGTGTGTATATATATGTACATATACATATTTGCAGATGAATCATTTTTCTCTTTTTTGATGTCTTTGTGTACACCATTTATTGATTTTTGTGAATAGTTATAAATTATTTTCAAAATGGCTAGACAAATTTACAATTCTACCAATAGTGTATTAGTATGTATAACCCCTCCAACATATGAAATGATCCTCTTTTATCAATTTTATCAATCTGATAGGTACAGAGTAGAACATCAAAGTTACTTTAATTTGATTATCCCTAATTATTAGTGATTTATAGCATTTTTTAATATTCTGTTCATAACTTAGACTTTTCCTTAGAAAATTGCATGTTCATATTCTTTGGCCATTTATAAATTCAGGAATGGCTCCTGTTCTCATAAATTTGAATCATTTCCTTATATATCTTAGAAATAAGAATCTTATCAGAAAGATTCACTGCAAATATTTTCTCTAATTACTTGCACTGATTTTATTTCTGTAAAAATATTTTTATAATAAAAATATTGTCTATCTTATCTATGTGATCCCCTCTATCTTTTATGTGGTCGTGAACTCTTCCCCTATCCATAGATCCAAAAAACAATTTCTTCCTTGCCCCTCTAATTTGTTTCTGATGTCATCATTTGTCCCTAAGACATAGATTCATTTGGAGCTTATCTTGCTATATATGATGTGAGGTGAAAGTTTGTACCTAATTTCTGCCAGACTTATTCCCAGTTTTCCCAGAAGTTTTTGTCAAGTAGTAAATTATTTTTCTAGTAACTGGGGTCTTTAGCATTGTCAAGCAATAGGCCATTATGTTCATTACCTTTTATACATTCTCTTCCATTGATCAGATTTTCTATTTCTTAAACAGTACCAAATCATTTAAGTAATTACTGCTTTCAAGCCTATTTTAGTAATTGCTACTGCTCAGTCTCCTTCATTTTCACTTTTTTGTGTGTGTGTTAATTCCCTTGATGTTCTTGAGCTATTGCTCCTCCAGATGAATTTTGTTATTTTTCTAGCTCTACAAAGTAGTCCTTTGGTATTTGGACTGGTATGGCATGCAATGAGTAAATAAATAATGTATGCAGTATTTTCATTTTTACTATATTGGCTGTGCCTACTCATAAGAAATTCATATTTCTCCAGTTATTTAAGTCACAATAGTCTTTTAATTGGCCTTGCTGCTTCCAGTCTCTGACCTCTCTAATCCATTCTTTTCACAACTGCCAAAATAATTTTACTTAAGTACATATCTGACCTTTTTATTCTCCTATTAGAAACCCTTCAGTGGTTCTTCATTGTCTCTAGGATAAAATACAATCTTCTTAGTCTTACATTAAAGCTGCTTCACAATCAAACTCTAAGTACCTTTGTTTACCACCATTGTTTTCATTTTACTGCCCTTCATACTGAAGATAAATACTAAGAGAGGTGCAAAATAGGTGGATATAGTCTCAGTCAAGCTTTTTAATGGTGCCATAGAAGACACACTGGAAAGAAACAAATAGCAAAGTTTGCACAAAAGAAGCACTTAACATTTTTTGCCCATCAATCTATCATTCATATAGTCTATGTTCTAAACTACCGTACTATTAGCTATTCTCTAAACTTGATGTGACATCTCCTGCTTCCACGCAACTATCCAGGCAATAATTTATGCTCAGAATATACTCCTTCCTAATCTGTTTTTTTAGAATTGTTATTTTCCTTCAGTACTGAGATCAGTAGTCAAGTTTTCTGTATAGTCATTACTGTTCTCCTTATTTGAAAGTATCTTCTTCCTTAAATATGTCTAGAGCACTTTAACTCAACTATCTACTTTACCAGTATCATAATCAAACTTTATCTTACATTTTTACCTATCTATGTTTATATCTCACTGCTCCATTAGTAGGATGTAATTTCCTCAAGGATAGAAATTGTCGTTTTTACCTTTGTATTTCCAGCATCTAGGACAGTGCTTTTCACATTGTAGGTGCTTTACAAATGTCTGTATATGGTTATAGATTAAATTGAAAAGAGTAAAACAAAATAGAAATTAAATAGAACAGAGCTACTATTTCTATATTCTATTCAGTACAGCAGAATCACATTTGTACTCCAATTTCTTCATATTTAATGTGCTATATGATAAATTGGTGGCAACTAGAAAAACATAATATCTGCTATACTCTCCCAGAAGTTCAGAAGAACAACTGGACTTGAACAAATATATACAAAATAAATTCATGCTGGAGGGAACAAATTTGTTTGCCAATGTGTGGGACAGGTATTTATTTCTTCCACATAAAAGAAATGTTTTTACATGAACTACAAGTTCACATAAAAAAATTTAAACAAGTGATAGTAATAACTTCTGTTATAGTTTCCCAGGGAGTTTATAATTATGCCTTTTTTAAACTTTGTGAGACTGCTGAATAGGCATTTTTACATTTCATTTCTGCTCTCCACTGTCCTCATTTCAGTAGAAGTTTTCTGACAAACAAGCCAGAACTTGGGTTCATCCTTATGTTGTTGGTCATTTGTTCCAAGAATATTAAGGTAGTTGCCAAAAACTTTTGTCCTTGTTTCCAGTCAGCTCCATCCAAAGGACTCATGATCTCCAAACCATTTGAAGACACAAGGTCACCTCCAGGCCTTGAGCTAGAGTGCTTGGGACTGATTCTTGTTTACCTATGTAGGTTTCTCTTGATTTTTGTGGTTTTATTTAAATAATTACTTTTCAGCTCTGGTCTTTTTTATCAGCAATATTTGAAAGTCCTCTATTTCATCAAAGGTTCATCCCCCCACCCAATAGGAATGTACTCATTTTGCAAGGTAAGTTATTCTTGGTGTTAAACCTACATCTTTGGTCTTTTGAAATATATTTTTAGATTCTGTCTCATTTTTAATGAAACTGCCAAGTCACATTTCACACTGAATGCAATTCCTGACATTGTAAACTGCTCATTTCTAAGAATTTATAAAGCTTTTTCTTTGATTTGAGTGCTTGGGATTTTGGCTTTGAGGCTTTTCCTTCTTGGGATTCCTTTCAAGAGACCGTCAGGAAGCAGAGCCAAGATGGTGGACAAAAGGCAGCTACTCACCTGAGCATTCACCCAAAA